CGGCATCTGAAACCAACAGAGTGTGGGTGTTGTGATGATCAACCACTGGAGTAGCTTTATGCTCCTAATAAAATGGCTTTGTTAAAGCAATAATCTTTGTCCATCTTTGTAACTAATGCACTTTAAAAAAGTGCCAAGCAGTTACTTTAAAACTTATTTCTTGAATAAATAATGACTAGGCTTTCTTTACTTGATGAAATGATCAAAATGGGTGTATTATCTTTCCCCAAGCACAACTTATTTGCACTCAATTATTCAGAACTGAACAACTAAAATATCTGTTACAGAACATTGTAGTGGAATAAACTAGAAAATTTAAAAAGCTCATCCCTGTTGGTGTGAATTGAAAGTGGAGGCTTCCCTCTCCCCAAGAAAAGTCACCTGCTTTTCCTGTTGATTTCAAATTACTGTAATGTTTTTTAAAATACTTGCTTAAGGGGAAACCCCTCCTCTACTCATTTTCAGGTGGTTCTTTCGTTTTCTTCCTCAAGGAAAAGCTATTAAGGAAACAGAAACATGTTGCCAGAAGTTCATTTATTTATCTGAACTAACTTCCTAGGAATGATAATAAAAAGAATATTCTGAAAGCTGATTGATAACTTTGTCTGAAAACTTGGGAGAAAAGAATAAATCAGGTCCTTTCTAGTTTGCTATGTTTATTATTTGCAAAAATCAGAAGACAGAGAAGGCCAAAAGAGTATTTTTTGTTTAATTTCTGAAACAATAAAAGTTGGAAATGCTTGAGATATATGTAGGTACCAAATGGCCAACAAAACTGGGTAGAGAAGTGCAGTGACATCAGAAAGGGAGCCACTAGGAAATGGAACTGTTCTTTCACACTTTTGAAGAAAAGAGGTTACTCATTATCTAAGAACTTTGATTGCTTTAACAGGAAAATTCTTCACTGTGGAGAAGAAACCTGTAAATATCTTGTTCATATACCTCATAAATTTGATGCACATGATAAATGGCTTTGAGTGTTGGTCACAACTTTTCAAATACCCTAGTGGCTCATGATATATGCCTTTACAAAAAATTGTTTTATCAATTTTACAAACTCTTAAAACATTCTTAGGGATGTCTAGAACATAGTTTCTTGAGGTTGCTTCTTCTGATGGAGGAGGGAATATGGTTTAATTTGCTCATTTCTACTTGTGACATTGTTAACTGCTCAAAAGAGTTTCTCTATGCAACTTGTCTTTCAATATATCAAGTGTACAGTTACTTGATCATTTTAGCAAATTCTTACAAATATTTGTTACAAGCAACATTAATTTTGAAATTATCATTCTTTGAACACCTTTATTTTCTCTAGAATTTCCTCTACCCATTGTCCACTGTTTAGGAATAATTTTTAAAGATTTAGATATCATGGAGTATCTTTATTTTTATCTGTCATAATGTTAAGATATGCATTCTTTGGCATTCCATCAATATCTAAGCATTTAGAATATTTTCTGCCCAAGGCAAGCATTGTGTAGTTTTGTTAGTACCACAAATTTACATAATTATGATGGCATGTTAACTTTTAACATTATTCTTTTCTATACTCGGCCATGCAACAAAAGCCTGCTTTTAAAATTGAGCCATTCTCATGTGCTTATCATTTAAAACAGTCAAGCAAGCTGTCACTTAGTCAAAGAGCAGCAATTCTTTGGACAGATGAATTTATGATGTTACGAAGCTTACATGATTTAATTTCCTTAATGGAACCAGAATTGCTATTACTGAGCTTAGTAGGTACTATTTTTAAGAGGAACAGCTATAGTTACTTTAAATTCAATGCAAATACATAATTTGAAGCTCAAAGTGTTTGAAACTATTTAAGAGTTCCCTCATTAAGGTACCACATCCTGGAGTCAAACCATACATTTTTCTATTAAGGGGTACACATTAAGATATTAACAATCTGCAATTCTCATTTCTACCTTAATGTTCTGAGATCTAAGGCAACTACATGTAGTAATCTGTAATTGAGGGCTAAAGGGAAGTTGGTCATTTCTGACATGTGCTTCCCAAGAGAAACATCACTGAGTACAGGGAGCTGAAATGCCCTCAAGCATTCTTGTAGGGCAAATGCTGTGCACCTTGGGCTCCGGGTGACTTCAAAGGAGGGACAGAGTGGGAGGCTCCAAATCACTGAATTTTACAAGCCCATTGTCAACTGTGCTTTTAATTAGGTCTTTATTGCCTTTGCCATATGATAGCTTATGATGATAAAGGGCAGGCTTCCATTTTAAAACTCAGGGTTTGTTACTCCCTACCCTGTGGCTCCCCAAATCAGAGGGGTATCAGGGTACCAGAACCAAACACACAGAAACTAGCAGGCACTTTTTTTTTGCACTAGTTCTAGTAAGAAACTAAAACAAGCTTTCACTACTTTCACCTGCTAAGTAGCTTCAGAGTAACTCTGGGGCAGTAGGAGCTTTTCAGGAAACCACTGCTTAACTTTTGGCAATCATGTTTGAAATAATATGCTGCAAAATAAGCTGTATCTAGTAAGCACTTTTCCTGCTATCCTACTCCCAAGTATCCTGACAGTTGCTGTGTGGGACTTGAGCTTCAGAAATGGTGAGCATACTGTACAAGACATAAACGATCAGGAGCAATCAAGTGCAACAACCAAACTGATGGGGAACAAACTAATCGTGTTCAGAAAGGCAAAGATGTCCTCTGATTCTTTTAACAAGAGTAGAAAATATGCCAAGAAGCTAATGACCAAAATGTCTGATAGCTTATGTGAGAAATAAAGTTGAGTTCCTTACTTTAAAATTCTGGTGAAAATAAAATTTCCAGTTTAGAACAGCTGCATTTTTCTTGAGCTAACTTATGAGAAACTTCTGCCTAAGCAAAAGACTGAATGATGTTCACTCTAGCCATGGATACTGACCAAAAATGCTCATGAGGAATCAGTGCAGTGAGTTGTAAATAACATTTGTAGGCTCCCACAGAAATGTCTTCATCTTTTCATCCCTAATCAAAAGTGAGGGAGAACTCACTTTTTTTTAGGGGAGAGTCATTTGCCCAAAATGCTTAGCCATCATTATATCTCAAGCATTTACAGTGATAATAAAGCATTACCCATGCTGTTGCAAAGAAGAAAATATAAAAACATCCTTACGGCCCATTTTCCCAATGTTAGGATAAATTTCCTGTTCTTCTAACTACTGAGTTAGACCAATGTTAAGGATGCATGTATATTTAAAGGGGGAGGGAAGGTTCCCAACTCAAAAAGCTTTCTGGAATGATTCTCTTGTTCAAAATAGTTCTATGCAATATTATGCTGTCAAGAATTCAGTAAGGCTTTACAACAAATAAATATCACCTGGAACATTTTCTCCAGAGTGAGGCAATGTCCATTCTTTGAAAATCTTAACTCTGAACATAATCTAACTGTTGCAAGTATTTGAGAGATGACTTTGAGAGCTACACTTCTCAAGAGATACTTCATTATCTGTGTTTTGTCATTACTAAAGCTGACCGAGAACTAAACCATATTTAAGGTATAGAGCATGAAGTACTGCAGAGGGCAAGAAAACAAACAAAGAGAAAACACAAAGAGAAAAAACAAAGCTATTCTCAACGGCCAGGACTAGCTGGATCGGCAGAGTTGGTGTATTCACAAAGCACTTAAAAGCAAGTACAGCCTGGGATACAGGGCAGAAAGACCACTTGTATGTAAATACAGATTCCTAAAAGACCCCACTTCAGCTACTGTAAGGACAATATATAGTCTATAAAAATATAAACCAGCAAGTAACAGTTTAAAGAAATCTATGCGCTAGTGATAGAGCAGAGCATAGCAAAACAAGTGTTCTGCTCATTCCCAAAGTTAACAACAGTAAACACCATGTAGGAAGAAGGAGCTGGAGTTGAGAACATAGGGAGTTGCTCGGATTTCTGGGGTATGGAGGCCATGAGCCATAATCTGACTCTGCATATTTATGAAAGGTTCACTGAACGGATTCCAACAGGCGGTGTGTGGGAACAGCTGAAGCAATGTTATTCGTTATGTAATGGTAGCAGGATATATTAGAGGTTCTGAGCAAGAGACATGGTGAATACTTGACACAGGCAGTGCACAACAGAAAGTACAGTGTCATAGGAGAGGAAAATCTAAATGGCATTTGCTAGTCAAGGGAGAACTAATCTCCAAATAAAAAACAGGAAATAGCTACTGATAAATTTCTAAAAACAATGTAACTACAAAAAGTAAAGGGAAATAGATTGAGAGAAATTTCAAAGTCGGAAATAAAAGTTTTCTCTATTTTTTCAAAACCTTATTTCTACTTGAGGTATAGACCCTAATCTATAGCAAGTAATAAAAAGTTTATAGGGTATTTTCCAAAAGACATAATGTAGCATTACACATAGGGTTAAAATGGACTCAGAATGAGAAAATTCAGCTTCTTAAAGAGTAAAGAGAACATGTCCTTTTAAAAAATAAGTTGCTTAAAAGATAAGGGTATTCCCTCCCCATCTTTTTGCTGTGTATATAAAAATTCCAACTAGATTGTGAATCTTTTACTGCTAGCAAGTTTACTGCTTTTGGCCAGATAAGAAATGCTGAAGACATAGGCTCAACTTTCTAATTTGAGAAACCCATTCTGATGAATCACCTTCAGCAGACATTATTTATCAGTTACCTTGAGTCTTTACAATTCAATTATTGTTTGTTGCTTACAAAAAGTAACACTTTAGGAGATCACAGAACGTCTCTCACATGCACAAACACATACACTCACTCAAAAGTACCAAATGAGGCCCTGGCAGCTGCCGACAGATTACATCATAACTCAGCGGTGTGCCTGGGTTGCCCACTTCACACTGGCAGCATTCAAGGTTAGAAAAATGAAATGGCAGCACAATTGGTCAGCAGCTTCTTGTCTTCTGGAATTTTTCCAGGTTCTTGAAATAGACAGAGACAGACAGACAGACAGACATATGAACATAAAGCTGCAATCATTTTTGCATTGATTTCAAAACAGTAAACTAGGCAGTTTCCTTGGAGAAGCAGAGCGCATCCAGAAGATGGCAGATGGAAAGCCTCTGGGTAAATGGTGAATCTCATCAGCTCTGCAGGATCTTCCTAGGGGGCACCTGCTAGCCACCAAGGGCACTGTGGGTTTAATCAGCTTGAGGCAGCCACTGGGACCTCAAGCTGTGTTCATCTCTGAGGTGTTTTGGCCAGGTGGCAGACGGGAATCCAGGTTCTCCTTGCATCTCTCCAGGTCACGGAAGTAAGGGTGAGACAGGGCACCGTAGGCAGATATTCTTTTGGTTGGATTGAATGTCAAGCATTTCTGTGATAAAGAGAAAGGAAAGGGTTGACATAACCCACAACAGTGTAAATAATAGGAGTATATAGTTACATGTCTAGTTACTGCTACATATTGTGTGGTGCAAACAATATGTTCAGCTGCTGACTTCAAGGTTTGTGGTTGTAAATGACCCCAAACCTCCTTAGAATAAATGCCTGTTGTTTTACACAATGCTAAAAAAAACCAAAACAGTCATTGATAAACCTATGGAGTACAGTTCTACTCTGATTCTCATGGTGCTATCAGAAGTCAAAATGGGATAATGAGAATGATCTATTTAAATAAATATAATGAGAATGAACTATTTAAAAGGGACATGAAATAATGTAATCATCTTTAGTATGGCCCTGACTCGATGGCACCTAACACCCCCATCACCATCACCATCACCAGCAGCAGCAGCAGCAGCAGCAGCAGCAGCAGCAGTAATTGACAGTAAGGCTATTGAATCATAGTCTACATGATGTCACCTAATAACAATGTATAAACTGCAACTGGGAAAGTCAGTATATTGTGAGTGACCTTTGTATTTCTCCAAGCCACCCTCTCACCTCATTCACATTGCCATCAAGTCAGAAACAACTCATAGCTGACCATCCAGCAGGTTTTCAGAGGCTGCAAACTGCATGGAAGGGGACTGTCTATCTTTATTCCACAGAGAAGTCGGAGGATTCAAACTGCTTTATCACTAAAGGCACCACAGCTTCCTCAAGCCACTCAAGACTCCTTACATGATTTTAAAATGAATGAATAGGATTAGTTTTATGGTATATATATAATTTTTCTAGTCAATGTCTTTTTTAAATTAAAACATTTTTTTTTGTCTAGTCAATGTTTTAATGCTTGCTAACTCAGTCTACAAATGGAGGCTTTATGTGAGTGTTTTACTTTGCTCCAAGGTTTATTAAAGAGCTGGAGACTGAAAGAGGCCATCTTGTTAGAATGTAAAGAAATAAGGGAAGGGGAGTAAATTAAGGGCTGAAACTGAGAATTACCACTTAATCAAAATAAGATCAATACTGAAAGACTGGATGATTTTTTCATGCAGCATAGTCCTTTTCTCTATGCTCCCTTCAGGGATTGGGGACCTTTGTCATGTAACTTGCTTTGGTCAATGGAGTGTGTTCAGAAGTGTCAGGGCACTTGTTACAAGAACATCAGATGTTTCTCTTGTTCTTCTGAGAACATCTTCCTCCCATTTGAGAAGAACATGCTCCAGGCAGCCATTGTCCCTCCAGCCTGGGCTTCAGAATAAGACACACAAGACAATCTGTACTCAATACCAGCTTTGCAGAGCGGCTCCAGGGGATTCGTAGGGCTATGCCTGCCACTTTGCAGACTCAAAAGCAAGGAACAAATGGCTACTGTTGCACAGCAGTGGGATTGTTTCTGCTTGTTTGTTATGCAGCAAAAACTGACCAACAGAAGGATCAAAATGGCAGAAGCTTTTAAACAGCTTTCAGCAATAGCATCAAGTTTAGAATATACACTCAGCCTTCCAAGTTAATTGTGATAAAAGGAACACAACTTGTTAAGTTATGGAGGTTTTAAAGAATTCTTCCAAATCTGGTCTGAAAAATAATGTATTCAAATTTTGTAAATAAACAACAACAACAACAACAACAACAATTCTTTCAACGGTTAAAATGGTGAATTTTATGATTTATGTTCTTTACCAATCCAAAGACCCACAGTTTGAATCCACCAGTGCCTCAGCAGGAGAAAGATGAACCTCTTCCTTCTATGGGAAAGGAAAACCTACAGTGGTGGTGTTTTATGGCAACTGATGCCATCCTAGGAGCAAGCTGACTGGGACCGTGACCGAACCCTAGGCACAGGACCTATGCCACGGCTTGGCAAAGCTGAGACATCTCAACCTGATTCCTCTTTTAGGAATCTGATGGAAGAAATACTGATAGGGAAAGCAATGGGGTTTGGAGTTAAATAGATCCGTAAGACAGGTGAAGGTTTTATTTATTTTTTATTATTAATTTTAATGAAAGTTTACAGAGACTTTGGATTTCCATTCCCTCATTGTTGTACTTTTCTCCCTGCCAACCTTCCCCCCCCACCTACCCCAGTTAGGTCTTCTCTTTGAAAAGTAAAAGAAAAATTCTTTCATTGTTATACAATCCCTCCCCTCAAATCCACTCCACTGTGCAGCCTTTGCTCTGGACTCCTGTCATGACAATAATACCTAATCATATATCCATTTTAAACAGTTTTCTCCCTCATCTGTTTCAATGCAGTATACATTATTGAACTCATCTTTCTCAGTCTCCACCAACCCCAAGGTCAGTCCTTGTTTTACAGTTTTACAATAGTGGCACTATGCAGTATTTGTCCTTTTGTGACTGAGATATTTTATTCAGCATAATGTCCTCGAGTGTCAACCATTTTGAATAATATTTCATGAATTCCTCATTTTTCAATGCAGCGTAGTATTCCATTGTATGACTATACCACAGCCTCTCTATCCATTCATTTGTTGATGGGCACTTAGGTTGTTTCCAACTCTTGCTATTGTGAACAAAGCCATGATAAACATGGGTGTGCAAGGTGACGCTTTTAAAGTCCAAGGTACCAGCGAAAGGTTAATGGGAACAGACAGTAAGACAGAAGAAGTAATGTGACAAAGAAGCATACAGAGAGAAAAATGGAGCTGTTAAGAGAAGGTGACGGACACAAATAGAGAACTTACATTCTGGAAGGCATTCTAGGTCCAGGCCACACAATACATTCTATCAACTCTCAGCTCCTCTTTTAGGGCAATATAACCAAGCATTTCTTATTTGGGGGAAAAAATTCAGCCTAAGTAGCAGATGACCCAATGTGGGTGTGGGCTTTCAGCTACGCAAACAGTCTCCTTTCAAATGAGTGTTTCAAGGGATATGAGTCTTTAGTGAAAGAAAAAAACAAACCAAGAGCTGGGAGGAAATATAACTATCCACACTTAGAGTTCTGGTGGCCTAGTGGGTAAGGAGTTACACGGGCAACTCAAAGTAGGCAGTCTGAATTCACCAGCTGCTCCACAGGAGAAACATGGGCAGTCTCCACCTATGCAATTAACAGCCTCTGAAAACTTGGAGGGTCAGCTGTGAATCAGCTGTGACAAGACAGTGATGAGGCTGTTTTATTTATGACTTGGCAATAGCAGGAAGCTTGGCCCAAGTATGAGCCTCCACCAGGTGAAGATGGGTAAGGGTTGTCACGGGAAGATACATGGCTATGAAAACATGTTGATGCCAATCAATGGCTATTCCTACAAAGAGCTGAAGTGTAGTATCTCTACTAAGGTCTAAAGACTCTTCAGTGTGTATGTGATATTCAGATTATGCTGACAGAATGGGAACGCTGGCTCCTCTAACTCCATGAACATGTTCTTCACTCGATATTGAAGGCTGTAAAGTCACAGGGTAAAGGATCACTACTTATTCTGCAACAGGATCCCAGATACCAGCAGTGGTTCATGAAGGATCTCCAAAATACAGAGAAATACACAGAAGGCCAAGGGTTGTGAGTATGAATCCCAAATAGAGCATACAGCAGTTGCTGTTAAGCTGATTCTGACTCAGAATAGTCGTACCCTGTGTGTCAGGGTAGACTAACTAGTGAGTGCTCCAGGAAGTTTGCAGTGTTGACTTTTTTAGAGGAAAACCATGAGGTCCTTCTTCCCTGACAGATCTGGGTGGACTTAAATTTCCAATCTTTTAGTTAGTGCTGGGTACGGTAACAGCCCAGGGACTCCAAACAGTGCATCCTAAACTCTTTGCCCCTCATTCTATTCTGACTCACAGAGTGACTCAGTATACAGTAGAACCACCCCAATTTCCAAGGCCATAAATCTTTATGGAAGCAGGTGGCCACATTTTTCTCCTGCAGTGGCTGATGAGTTTGCACTGAAACCCTTTTAACTAGCAGCTAAGCGCCTAACCTCTATGCCACTGAGACTCCTTATACCAGGGCATAATCCATTGTTGCCAAGTCAATTCTGACTCACAGCAACCTTTCTGGGGTTGTAAATCTTCATGGGAGGAGACTACCAATATATAAGTTATGAGCCTGACACATTATGCATTGCTGTATAGGCACCCTATGAATAACAGATTTGAACACTGTCCTATCCCATGCCTTCCTCATAAGCTCAAACACACTCACGTCCATTGCCACAGTCGGCATGTAAACCGACCTGACTGAAGGTCTTCCTCTCTTTTACTTATCCTCCACCTTCCTAACAAACATGCTGTCCCTCTCCATGGCATAACTTCTCCTAGCAACATGCCAAATTATGTGATTTGAAGTTTCATCATCTTTATCTTCAAGATATCTCCAAGACATGTCTGTATGTTCTTTTGGAAGTCCATTCAGCATTCTTCTCCAACACCATAGTTCAAAGATATTAAATCTTCTATCATCCTTGGTCATTGTCTTGCTCTCAAATTCACAGAAAGTGATGAAAAGACCATGGTGTGAATCAGGTGCACTGTAACCCTCAAAGTGACATCATTACTCCTCCATAATTTGGAGAGGTAATTTTAATAATCATTTTGTAGCCTTTCCCAGCGCAGTATGTCTTCTGATCTCCTCACTACTGTATCAAGAGTACTGATTGTGAATCCAAGGAAGATGAAGTCACTGACAGTCTCAATCCTTTTTCTGTCCATCCTGATGTTGCCTATTGGTCCAGTGGTGAAGATTTTTGTCCTCTTAATGTTGAGATGCAGTCTATATTGAAGTCTGCAGTGTTTAGCCTTCTGCAGCAAATGCTTCAAGTCCTCCTTTCAGTAAGCAAGGTTGTGTCATCACATAAGGAAGGTTACTGATGAGTCTTCCTCTAATCCTGATGCCACTATTTTCTTCATAGAATCCAGCTTCTCAAATAATTTGCTCAGCATACAAATTAAATAGGTATGGAGAAAGGATGCACACCTTTCCTAATTTTAAACCATGCAGTGTTCCCTTGCTGTTTGTTCAACAGCCTCTTGGTTTAGGTATAGGTTTCTCAGGGGCACAATTAAGTCAGGTCTAAGTCCCAACCCTTTGGTACGAGCCTCATCTCTCTGACTACTGCTATGCTTTGCTGGAAGCTTATGCAACTTATGGCAAACAAGCAGCAGCAGAAGAAAGCATTTTATATCGTGTGGCTCTATTTCAAGTATGCATGGCCCATTAAATATGTAATAATTAGACAGGCACCTAGAAGAAACATTGCCTTACAGTTTCTTAAGAAAAACACCTTCCTAAGACGTAGTTATTTAAGAAAGAAGCACTCATTGCTGTTGAGTTGGAACTGACTCCTAGCTGATCCTCCAGTGGGTTTTTAGAGGTTATAAACTACACGAGAGAAGACTGCCTATCTTTCTCCTGAGGAGCCTCTGGTATAGAGTTGAACTGCCAGAACTCACTATGAACTATTTCACCAGAGTTCCCTTACCTAAGAAAAGGCTCATTAAACTATCAAGCTTAAAGTAGCATGAAACTGTAAGCAAAGAAACTGAACATTTAGGTTCCAAAGAAATATATATCCAAATGAAATGAGAGGCTTCTAAGACTGCATATAAAGGAATGAAAAAGTTAACAGATTCAAAGAGTATGGATTAGAGTATTTTTCCTTTTTAAGAACTGAAGACATTACAGAATGAAAAGTCACCAGCTGCTCCACAACAGCTAGGTGTGGAAATGAAACTTCCAGAAAGACTGGCTTCCTGCCTTATGTGGTTGGGGCATGCACTACCTGCAGTTGTTGCTGAATTGAAACCCGAGTCCACCTTCCAACTCAGATAGGGACGGTCTCAAGCAGTACTGTGCAGACCGGCTATGGACCATCCCACTTACCAGAAGTAGGTCTTTGCCTTGCTCATCAATATCTGTTACAAACTTCTCAATTGGTTGGGGTGGTTTTGAATGGAAAGCATGCCTGGGGAGGGCGACGTCTCTCGGCCAGTCTTCTTCTCCTGGGAGTCCAATTATGCTACAAAAGAAACACAAGTGAACACAGGCATTAGCTGCTATACTGACACTGTGTTCCCACCAAAGTCAGATGAAAAGTGACATCTAAGAAGCAAGCATAGGGGGTCAGGTGGGGTGGGGTGGGTGCACAACCCACTTATATGGCTGCAAGGACTCAGTTATTTCTGCCCTGGTTTAATACAGTGATCACAGGGTGCAGGGAAAGCTCACAGCTGAACCCAAAACTTCACTGAAAAGAAATCACTCTGGAAGTACAGACACAAAGAGACAATGGAGAAAGAGAAAATTTATTTCTAGTGGCAAGTCCTGACATAGGTGACACTGTGTTGTTGTTAGGTGCCAATCAATGACTAAGTGACCCTATGAATAATAGATTGGAACCCTTGCAACAAAGTGGGATATATATATATATATATATATATAATTTCCCCCCCAAGGCATCTGCATAGGCATAATATTTTCCTTTATACCCAAGTGCTTTTGAAGTTTTGATTGAACACTCCAGTATTGTCATGCTTTGACCACGCTCATCCAACATGGTTTATTAACACATATTTGGTTGCATTTTTCATTAAAAAAATTAATGCTCTAAATAGGAATTATGTACATACATTACAATTAGACAGAAAGTGAGATGTTAGAAGGTATTAAGTGTCTTGTCATACGCAAACTTTTTTTTTAAATTAAAGAATGACAACCCTCAACAAGACAGATGGACACAGTGACTGTGACAATGGGCTTGGGCATGAAGAAGACTGTGAGGATGGTGTAGGAAAGGTTCAGATCAGTTGTTCTCAGGGTCACTGTGATGAATAATCAACTTGAAGGTACCTAACAACATCATGATATTCAAAGTTAGCAAACAATAAAGAAAAACAATATACCTCATGTTTCCCTGAAAGGCATTCTGGGATCAAACATGTAAAGTATCAAGTGATAAAATTTGCATTTCACAGACTTTTTTTTTTCTGAGTCAATACAAATTTTATCAACACACATTTGTCAAAGTCTGTACAAACCTCACATAGACTCTTATCACTGGATTTATTATATACTTGATTCCAGAAAGCCTTTCAGAGAAATATAAGTTATATTTTTTATTTATTATTTGTTAACTTTTGAATATCATGTTGCTAGCTATATACAAGTGTCTGGAAAAAATGGGACAGCACTTAGAGCTGGATTAAAATTCTAGACCTGTGTGCTCACTTCGGCAGCACATATACTAAAATTGGAACGATACAGAGAAGATTAGCATGGCCCCTGAGCAAGGATGACACGCAAATTTGTGAAGCGTTCCATATTTTCGACCCTGAAATTAACCAGTCTGTAATGAAGGCTAACTCCTTTCACCTACAAATTTCATCTTTGGATACAAAGCTAAGTGGATAGTCCTTATGGAGGCACTGTTTAAAAAGAGGCAGGGAAGAGAAAAGAAAAAAAAAAATTCTAGACCTGTTACAGCCGTGTGACTCAGGACAAATTATTATTTCAGAGTCAGTTTCCTTACTTACATACGGATAGTAATATATAGTTATTGTGAGATCAGGGGTGATTTATATAAAGTATGTAACACAATGCCAAACACTTCTACCGGCGGGGACCTGAGAAGATGGGGTAACGGTGGGCATAGTTCAATAGTGTGTTTTTTTTTAAAAATTTTTTTTATTATTTTGTGTGCGTGTACCGTCAAATCAGATCTGACTGGTACAGGAGGATATTGCGCCTCCTTCTCCGGCAGAGCATCTGGTGGATTCGAACCGTGTTCCTCTGGGATTGCAGTGCAGCTTCTTGCCACTAGGCCACCAGAGCTCCCCAATAGTGATTAATTTTATAAAACATTTTTAAAACATTATAAAATTTTTTGGGAATGAGAATGAAGCAAAGTGTGAAACACAATGTATACAAATTAAAAGAAAGGTTGTTCATTAACCCATCATCTGTAAGAAATAGACATTCAATTAATAATATGTAAGATGCAGATTCAATTCTTTAATTATGTGGCATATAACTAAATATATACATACGTTTAGGTACATAACTTTAAAAAACTGTTCTCTTGATCTCATTTTGCAGATGGGAAAACTGAGAGGAATTAAAGAACCCACTAGAGTCACACACAGTGGTTTCAGTTGCAAGGTTCAGTTCTCTTGATCCAAATCCACACCACTACTTCACAAAAAAGACAAACAGCTTGAGTTGTCCTGATGTGTGATGTAAGGTTCTTCAGAAATGTTAAAGGTCAGTGATCCTAGACAATGTATATTTGGATATAACTGACAGTTTCCAGTGGAAAAAGAATGTGTGAGCAGGAAGTACACTTGAACAAGATAAATAAGGAGATACCAAAACTTGGATTTGATGTAGACGCTGCTTAATTGTGAGCTAAAATAATCAAAGCTCTTTGGACAGAAAAATGAACATATGATTCTCTGGACATATGACTAATCAAATACTGGACTACTGTGAATACTGTAAATACAGATCCATCTTGGGATCTTCTGCTTGGCCTGCATTTGCTGGGACTCAGGCCCATGGAGTGGCTTCTATGAATATATTTCTAGGTTTCAGCAAGGTGTGGCAGTAGAAGTCTCATGACCTTTAATAACTTTGTTTCTCTTCCTTTGCCTCAACAGAGTGCAGATATCTGACCTCATCTTCAAAGAGCAGATACCTGTAGCATCAGACATCTAAGAAATACCACCTTGCCTGTCTCACTAATGAAACAAAGCAGACTCACAGACATATTTATATGACAAATAAATAGAAATTACAGAATGGACAATATGATAGAAAATGTGGTTTAAAACAAAGTCCTAGTCCAGGAATAATTTAAAAAATTCCTATAGTTATTAAAGGAAATATGTGAGTTATCTGTGTTTGGAAAGAATTGGACATTACAGAAGAAAGAGGAATGCTTTTTAAAGACCACTATAGGTTTTCATTTGTTTTTAGTCTTTTAGCTATTTTTATATACACTTTGCAGTCATCTAGAAATTGTTTGCTACAACTTTGAGTTGTTGAGTACCGTAGAGTCGGAACTGACCCATTGCTGACCCTCTGGCAGGTTTTCAGAGGCAGTTAATCACATGGGAGGAGACTGACCATCCTTATCCTGTGGAGCAGCTGGTGGCCGTAAACTGGGTGCCTTCAGGATTGCAGCACAGCTGCTTGCCATTAGGCTACCAGAGCTCCTTAGTATAAAATATTAGTTAAAATATTTTTTTATTTGCTGATTGCAGAACAGAATGACAAAAGGTTTTATTAGAGAATCAATGTGCACTTGTGTGTTATTGTTTGTTGTTATGTGCCGTCAAGCTGAGTCACTTGCGACCCTATGTAAGATAGCCCTGAAACCGGCTCTATCCTGTGCCATCCTTATCTCTGACACACCAACCCTCATGACCCCAGTCACTGAATTAATCCATCTCATCAAGGATCTTCCTCTCTTGTGCTGTCCCTGTGTGTGTGTGTGTGTGTGTGTGTAGGAACATATTTAAGGATGTGGCATATAATTTAGGATATACATATATTTATACATGTAACTTTAAAAAATATTTTCTTGATCTTTCTCCATTCCTTCACTTCTGGAAACTGACCCATCTCAGCAAGTCTCTCTGAAATTATTTTTTCTAATAAACTAGCTTTGCTTTCACCTTAAAAAAAAGTGTTTAATTATTCCCATTTTATAGATGGGAAAACCGAGAAAGGAATGAAATGACAGTGAGTTCAGCTGCAGAGTTTAGTTCTCCTAATCCAAAATTTTGCTTCCATGTTTCTAAAAATGCTCCACAATACTGCAGCCAAAAAAGTATTCAGTTTCACTTTCAAAGTACTTGCTGGTTTTACAAAGTAAAAATTGCCCTAATTACTGAAATAATGGTTTTTCATATAAAAAAATTAATGTCCAGTGTGAACTTTTAGGACCCACATTGTGACACGCTAATAGGTTCATTAAAAGGTGCTTGCATTAAATGTCACTGTTTGAACAGCTGAATATAAGCCTTAAAAGTTGCTATTTACACTGGAAAGACTGACAAGGAACAAATTCTATAAATGGCATTGACGGCGGGGACAGATTTTCAAGTACCTGAGACGTGACACTAGGGTGCAGCATTGTCCCTCTTCTCTGGCAAGGTAATGTGGTCAGAGGAAATAAAAGATAGTTTTGATGAAACAATGTCAGACGTCAAGATGCAAAATTGTGCTCAAATAACCCTAAGCATAAAAAAGTTTATGGCTTTTCTTCTGTTGGCAACCAAGTACGGCGAGGCTTTTGTCCAAAGTCAAATTGGCTTTTCCTTGGAAACAAGAAAAAGTTACTGTCAAATGTTTCCTATGGTTCTTTTCTCACTGGCTTAACCAGCACTGACGATGTCAAAGATATCAGTGCTGAGAGGAACAGAACTCCTAGGTGGTGTAAGTGAGGGAGATAGTCTAATGCCTGATACACTGATTCCAGTGAAGACTGCTTTTCCTTTTAACAGAAAGTTACTGGTATGAGCGATTTTCACAGTTCCCTCTTCAAGATCACATGTACACAAACTCAATGATTAGGGGAAGAAGCAATGAGGGTATATAACTCCACAACCAAATAACTTGATACCCAGAAGCAGGGTAAGAACACACAAGGTTTGTGCTGAATTCAATCATCTTTTTAAAAGTGGTTGAGATGGATAACACAGTGACTGTGACAATGGGCTTAAGTATGACAGAGGTGGTAAGGTTGGCACAGGATAGGACAGAAATCAGATCTGTTGCTCGGAGGGTTGCTACGAGTAGTAGTTGACTTAATGGCACACAACAACAACAACAACAACAACAACAACATAGAAGTTATATGTGGCAGCAGCAGTAATGACCACAGCCCGGGATCTGGGAAGCCCCAGACAATAAAACTGGCATATGTTCTTGGGCTTTAAATCCACTAGGTTCTGACTTACTGCTGGCACTGACATTAACTAAAGTTACTGGTGTGGCCTGTGGACACCAAAAGAAAATGTCAGGTTCCAGTTTTATTCCAACTGTCTTAGGTAGTCATGCTCAAATACAAAGTTTTAATCCTGTGCTCGAGTGGTATCCTTTTTTTGCAGCTGCACAGACTACAAATATTATAAAAATTGCTGGGCTTCACGGAGCAATGATCAGGGTTATTTTTGGTCTAGAACTCCACCCCAATTCTCATGGGGCTTTGCAAATGCCTGAATCCCAATGATGCTATACTGCATGCCTGATAGGAAGAAAAGCCTATTACATTCTAGAAACCCAAAAAGATCCATAGCTTTCCATGGACAAATAGGTAGACATGAGTAGAACTCTATGCACTGTCTGCTATTACAGACAGCTTGGAGTCAAAGAATTTGAGTCCAAGAAAGGGTCTTACAGAGACTGTAAATCCAGAGTTTTATTTTGCGTATGAAGAACAGAAAAGTTAAATCAACTGTAATGAGTAATAACAATAATATCATCTTTAAGATACTTAACATGTGCCAGGCATCATGGATGCCCTTGTCAAGGTGTCTGAAATGATTTGTTCAAAGCTGCAAAGTTATTTTGTTGCAAACCTAGCACTGGAACCTAGAATTTTCATTTCTTTCTTAGGTGCTGCAAAGAAAAATGGGATTGTGCATCTTTTGCCCAGGAAAACAAAATACTGCAAAAATCAACCTGGATGACCGAGGATACGTAAAATACGTAAGGGACAGGAAAGCCGAAGGGTAGGGCTGAACTACCAGGCTGCTAAGGACGCCACCCTTGTGGTGGGTGCACTTGAAGTAAATGTAGACAATGCTTTTGAAATGGAGCTCAGCCAAGCAACAGTCAGCCTTAATATAACAGCATAAAGACTCACACAAGCAACACAAAGCCTTCAGGCAGGGCAGTTAAGCCACATGCCACGAGAGGACTCTGCAAGAAAACCCCCAACTCTCCTTCCAGATCTCCACTCACCACACAAACAGTGACACTGTCTGCAGCAGCAGCTTGGGGGTAAGAAAGACAAGAGAGAAATCCATTACATGATCATCAGAGAGGAGAATCACAGTACATGTTCTGTGGATGTAAGAGTATAGTGGTTACTTACTCCAAGATCTTTCCTAGTTGGTCAACATCTGAACTTCCACGGAACAGGGGCCTAAAAGAGGAAAGATATATTTAAAGAAGGATATTTCTTAGGTTACAAGTCAAATATATTTGTCATTACCATTTTACGAGGAAGCAGAATATTCTTTATGGGTTGGGAAGAACTGTGATTAATTGTTTTGTATGCTTATGATAAGAACTTCTCACACCTCTTCCTGTTTTACAGCCATCATGGTTAATCACACAATCACTGTAACAATAGTTCTCAGGCTGTATCTCAGGTGCAACCATATCCTGTGTGTACTTAAGTGGCATCCACTTCCTAAACAACATGCCTCCAGAAACTCTATGAACTTTAAGAAATGATGATAGTTATAGAAAGGCTTTAGGCCTTTTGTTCTTAGGGTCACTGTGAGTCATGCTTGACTTGATGACAATCAATAACAACAACAAACATCTAAAAACAGTTTCTAGACTTAGACAAACTAAGTCTTGGTAATCTATGTCCAAAAGAAGTGTATGAAAGCCCTGCAGATGACTATGATTCAATTCACAACTGACAAAGAGGTGGTAAAGGCTTAATGGCAGTTACCAGCATCTTCTGCCTGACCCAATTGAAAAGTTCTACTAAATTTTGTGATAGGTGACACCCACCACTGTCCTAGTTTCAAACTGTGAGTTTGTGGGATTCTCTGAAACCAGTCCGATTCTTCTTGGGCCGTCGTAGCAGTACCATGTCCTCTAATTCTTCTCTCACTGGACTTACTTCTATGTTTTGTGCTTTCAGTTTGTCCAAATGCTGCAAATACTGGTCCCATTTTTCTTATTCTAGAACTTCCCTTTGTCCTAACATTATGGGAGCTTACTGTTCAAAGTTCAGTCTTAATTCGGGGCTTCAGAGGTGACTGTATCCTTTTCTGAACCCACACCCTCATAGTCTAGCGTGAACATTTAACTAAATTTATTGTGTGACATATCTAGAATCTTCCCAAGTACAGCAATTCTCCTTGTGGGCAAGGACTCAAGGGTTCCCCTTAATTTGTGGTCTACTCTGTTACTTTAATAGGTTGACAACTTAAAAGATTTTATTTGACTTAGTATATGTCTATGGGACAAAAAGAGCTCTGGTGGCCTAGTTAATAGGGAGTTGGGCTGACAACCCATAGGTAGGTGGTTTGAATCTACCAGCTGCTCTGCAGGAGAAAGGCAATCTCCTACTATGTGATTTACAGCCTCTGAAAATCTGCTGGAGGTCAGCTCTGAGTCTGTTCCAACTTGACAGCAATGAAGAAGATGGTATAAATATAAATGTTCCCTCTCTCCATATTGAACAACAGACAGGAAAAGATGCTTTTCAATAACTACGTGTTAAAAAAAACCTAAAAACACACACAAAACTATGTGTTTAAAAATTGTAGTGTGCTATCAGAAATCCCATTTTTAATTCACCATGACCAAGTGGGATTCATAACAGGTATGCAAGGATGGTCCAACATAAGAAAAACCAGCAACTGTAACTCACCAGAAATCCTATTTTTAATATTATATATCAATTAGTAAACACTTTCTTGTGCAAGAAATAAATTCCATTTACAGATCAAATAAGAGAAGACACCTTAAAATTCCCAATTTAACTTTCTATTTAGGCTTTATTTCTGAAAACAATGAAGCTCAGGAGCAATGGGAAAGATTTTATTTGTGGCAATTCGCAGAATATCACCAATGTGGACAAACACATGATCAGAGTTGGGTTCTGAAATGTGTCCAGATAGGTCTTTCAGTATAGCAAAATGGAAATTCTTAAAAACAGAAACATAATAATGGTCATTTAATGATACCTAACTTTGTATCTTGCATGGTACTAAGTACAGTCTAAACATACCTCATATAATTCTCACAAAAATTTCATGGGAAAAATTGCCAATTTCAGATCCAGAAACTGAAGAATTAAAATTCACACAAACTGTGCCCTTTCTCAAAGCCAGTATACTTTACTATCACAATAATTTCACAAAGTACTGCCGTGGTTATACATACTGCTTTACAGGTATTAATTCTTGCTCTTCTTTAACAAGTGACAAAACCCAACCTAAGAGATATACTGGTGTTTGCTATTATTTTTATAAACTTCCTTGCTGATGACTCATCTAGATTTTTAAATTCTATCACAAGCTCAATAATCTAGAACTGTTTGAACCACTTCTTAATCAGTTGTTGTTGTTATGTGCCGTCCAGTCGCTTGCGACTCATAGCGACCCTATGTACAACAGCCCTAAACGCTGCTCTGTTCTGTGCCAATCGCACTATTTCTGACACT